AGAGGCGGCATAGTTAAAAGTACATATGGGAAACACCAGTGACTCCGTTGAACTGCTGTGGCAATCTATTTGGTCTAAACATTACAGTGGTTCACTTTAGGGACGAAGCTCGGTTTTGCAAAGTTACATCTATGTATGATTTTAATATGTATATATCGACAAACCTGCATTTATTGTTTCACAACGTCACTTCCTTGCTCGTTGATGCATAGCTGACCGTTTGATAAGCAGGCCAAATCTGAATTCCATGTTGGTGCATCAACTGATTAATAATCATATAAAGTACAAGGGAGAGCGCCAATACTGACAGTGCCAAATTGGCAATCACTGTTACCATGTAGCAAAGTCTTGCCCTAAAAAATGACAATCTCTTTGCAGATCGAAACGAATGAATGTGACACGTCGGTATTTCGGAGAAAGAGTAAGAGCCACCTTCCTTATTTGCTCTCGTTATTACAATGCGCAGAAGCAACATAGTTGTAAAGTCTGGACGATTAATAAAAATCAATTCATATCGTGCCAGCAACCCCGTATCTTCACGTTCGAAGTAGATACCGTCTTAGCTCTTGACTAGTTCTGGCGGAAGACGGCCGGCTCCTCGCGTAGCCTAATGACTCAGTTCATGGTCAGAAAGCGGAAGGTGATGCCATATGCTACGTTTCCCTGTTTTATTATAGCCACATGCCGACGGATGCTACTATCGATCTGTAATTCATCAGTTTCGCAGGGTCGTGTCGAACGTTTGTCTCGACTGCCGTCAGCCAATCGGCTGTACGGCAGCGGGACTGCATCTTTCTTGCTCTTTTGGCCGGACCTTCACTGATGATCTCGGATTACCGTCGATGAATCGTTTTTCAGAACATCACTACACGCCGATTTCGTTCCATTTGGCATATGTATATGGATTACGTGTTTTGTTTTAACTGGGATCTCTGATATTCTAGTTCACAGTTTTGGGAGGGTAGATGCCATAATGAAAAGGTTCGAATATTCTACAGTGTTTTCGTCGTATCTAGGAATGGGGCCCTCGAATTTTATGATTCGTTTCACACTCTGTGCAATAGTCAGACTGCAATAGTCTGAAAATACGGGTTCGTTTACCAAGTATATTCATAGGCGCATAATAATTCCTTCAAAGCCGAATTTTGTGCTGACATTATGTTGTGCCGTTTGCATAAGCAGAACGTTTCTGGTTTGTGATGTTCGTTGTGTCCGTAATTTTGCACTTTTACTGTAAGTTACCGATACTGCGTCGTGGAAGGATGCTTACCTCCCTGAAAGCAGTTCTGTCTCTACGTTGTCCCTCCATGTTTCATACTGGCCTCCTGGTGGTAGTGTGCCGTATTTTAACTATCACATGAGAAGCTCATGATCAGCAGTATATGGTTTATGTTTGACCGGCTTGTCCCGCATGGCCAACGTCGTTTTCTTAATATCCACATCTATTCGGGTCATTTGTGCCCGGAAGAGGACAAAGTCATGCGTTACATGGTTAGTAACACTTAACCCTTATGTGTTGAGTGGTGTTCCGCTATTGTTTCGATGCCGTACAACAAAAGGCATCTAACAGACACAAGGTACAGGCGGATTTTCATGCGAAAAATAACTCCTTTCAAAGTCTAAATGTTGAACAAGTTTCGAGAAGCATTCGAGGCTAGGCGATCCTCCTATTTAACTTTGATATAATGATGCCATTGCTAGAGATGTGTGAGTCGAACTCCGTCAAGGTTTCACCCCTCCTGCTTCACGTGTAAAACAGTTGTCAAATGAATCAGTTTTTCGCAAGTTTTGACTTCCGGCCGTAAGCATGAAGTCGACTTTCGATCGTATTTTGCATACGGAAGCGGTCAGGTGACAAAAAGGTCACAAGGTCGGTATCATATGCGTATTCCAGGTCAGCAAGTTATCTAATCGAATATCTTGGACTGCACCCTCCCTCTAGAAAAAGACCATCGTCGTTGAAAGATTCAACGCTATCTCCAAGAAGAAGGTCGAGAACAATATTGAACAGAGAAAGTGAATGCACATCTCCCTGCCGAATTGCATAATTAATGCATAACCATTCACATAGCTCTAATTCATCTTTGACTGTAAACACGGTACTTGCTTACGTCTCTTTCGACATGGAAACAGTTGACTTCAAAACCAAATTTTAGGTTATAGTGAATCACCACATTGCTCTCTTTTGCTCCCTAAACCATTCGAATAAATCACAGATTCATGGCGATTAAGCAGTTGCAATTCCATAAGCATGGTATGTGTTGTTATTTTTTTCTTTCTAGGCAGGTACTCCTCATGTGCTACCACGTAAATAACAAAGTACGCGTTCATACGCCAGGTATCTTAATTAGCGTATAATTTGCTGAAGACTATATTTCACCACATATTGCACCACTAGAAAGAAAACGAATTGTTTCAACTGTAGCCATTGGAATTTTGGCATTTTCACTTTCATGATAAGTCCTTATTTCTATTGTCCTTCTTTCGCCGAAACTGACATGGTCAAGGGTTGATTTCGATTTCAATGTCATAAAAAAGAGTAGCTTATTTTAAAAGCAGAATCGACAGCACTTATGTGGCAAGCATACTGGGTAGTCTCGTGTTTCCTTTCCATAGAACGGTACTCATTTTTTAATCTCGGAATAAAGAAAACCGAGTAACCGACCGAGGCTCGAACCCTGAACCTCTAGTCATGACTCCGATGCTGTACCGACTGAGCAAGCCCGATTTACTTCGGTTTGTGTGCCTTCTTACTGTTTGTTTGTGTGCCTACTTAGAATATCGAAAATATGACTCACAAGGGTATATGTTAATATGCGCATGATTTCTACAATTCGGTTCGCAGATGAGAATTTGCCTTTGTGTTGCACAGACAACAGTTTGCAATAGGCTAATTAAAGTCTCCTGAGTTCATCCGTATCCTCTTGCAGCATCCAGCTTCAGTCCTCTCCACGCATTGGACCCATGTATTGGTGTTAAATGGTGCCTGTTGTTCATTCTTTGCGTATCACTGTTTTAATAGTTAATAACGGAGTCGATTATGCCTTTTCCTCCTATTTTTGTTCCTCTTGGCAAGTACTGATTATAGTTTGCCCAGAGTTGTCCTTATACTGTTTACTGGCAAACTTTGGCATATGGGTATTAATGTAAAATTTAGTGGTGAACCTTTTCTCGGTGGCTGTACACGAATTTGGCCACAGCCTTGGAATGGGTCACTCGAAGGTTCGAGAATCGCTCATGTTTCCGTATTACACCGGCTACATGGAAAACTTTAAACTATCCAGCGACGACATATACGGAATCCAAAGATTATATGGTAAATATTCTATTTTTGACCGAGATTGGTTTTTAAGGTTTCTTAAGGTAATGGTGGCCACGTACAGGTGGAACCACCGGTTGTTGTTACTGATCATGAAGACAGCGACGAAACAACGACCACGCGAAGCAGTGAGGACGTAGATGTCACAGCGACCTCGTCTGCGCCTTTACCTAACACCACCGCAAAGACGCCGTCACTGACGGAGGTGTGCGAATCGTCGATGGATGCGGTTGCTAGGATCAGAAACGAAGTGTTTGTGTTTAAGAATAAGGTACCAATGGGACTTTGTGTTTGCCACGGTGAGGTTGAGTATTTTTACATTTGTCACCGTTTTAGTACTTTTGGCGGGTCGACGACTTTGGTTACCTGATAGAAAGCCCGACAGAAATCGATCGTTTTTGGTACGGATTTAACGAGGTTGTCGATCATGTCGATGCCGTGTACGAGCGACCAGGAATGGACAAAATCATGTTTTTCGTCGGTAGGATTTCCTACTTTGCTTTTATTATTTTGCGTTAACAAGCAGCTCCCTGCACGTTACTTGTAAATCGTAACCGATCAGTTTGCCATATGATTTTGTAAGTGGTTGTCAGTGGATCTGCTGACCGTTTACTTAAAGGGCTAGTTGGGAGCTGCGGCGTCGAACTTGAAATGGACTCCACTGATACTCGATATGAATATCAGACGAGAAACTGTCGCAGTACACATAGCGACCCAGGGGTAGAGGTAAACTGAAGGCCATCTACACTATCGCATCTTTGGATTTCTCTGGTGGAGCTTGTCTGATTGATTTACTGAAAGTCAGAACCATTGCATGGATCTGAAACCGCTACCCCTGCGACCCGAAAGGAGCAGCTAACTTACAAAGTAGATAGATGGGTGGCATTTTAACGACCATATTTTAAAAATGATAATCGCTTGTTAATGATTTCATTGCTAGACCACATGTTCCTCTAGGTCTTCTGAAGGACGGAAAAACTGCTGCAGAGCTTACTGTGGAACCTGCTGCTGCTGCGTTTCACCGTAATGCAACAACGTAGCACTATAGATAAAATCTTCAGCTTAAATTCTTACTATTGGCATTCATTTTCTTACAGAAGTAACCCGTTATTTCAGGTCGCAAGTACTGGGAGTTCAGTGCGAACATCGCGAGACCTGGCTACCCTCGAAATATCTCGTCGCTCGGTCTGCCTGCATACGTGAACAAGATCGATGCGGCGTTCGTGTGGGAGTACAACGACAAGACATATTTTTTCGCCGGTGATGAGTACTGGCGCTTCAACGAGGAGACGGGGACCGTTGACGCCGATTATCCCCGTAAGCTTAGTATCTGGGAAGGAGTGCCTCATTCGGTGGATGCAGCGTTTACGGATCACGAAGGTTCGTCGACCAGTTTCGTTTCGTTTTGTCTTCAGTCGTTTCATCGTTTGCGCCTTTCTTCTAGGAGTGACATACTTCTTCAAGAATGACGTCGTTCTGCGGTTCAACAGCTACTTCATGAGGGTGGAGAACGACTACCCGACGGACTTGCGGTCGTTCTGGAAACACTGTCAGCCGAGTCGACAAAGGCACGGAGGCGGCGACAGCGGCCTGTTGTCGACAGCAGCTGCTTCAGGGACCTTAGCTCGATCGTCACCTTCTTACCGGTTGTTGTCTGCCACCGCCGTCGCGTTACTGACGCTCGCTTGGTTTTCTGTCATCACGTCTGCTCGATGAGTCAACCGTTGTCCCTGTTGCGTGCCTTCAGTCAGCCATCACTCGCTTTGGTTCCGTCCTCTAGGCGCCGGATCTAGTCCATAATTCTGTCAATGCGCCAAACAGAAGCGGTGTTCGATGTCTGGCGTCTCACTGCTGCCCTAAAGTCACTTAAAATTGTTTTCAATGAGTGTTTTTGTTGTAAGGATTTTCAGGCGTTGTTTCATGGATATTTTCGAGTCGAGTTTTTTTGTAAGGAATGAAATTTTCAAAATAATGAGCTCGTTTTCGCTTTGTTAGGTTTACGAAGTTGGAAGCGGTACCCGGACCAAAATCAGCGGTAACCATTGTCACCGGAGTCAGTCACTATATTTAATGTTTGCATGACTGGGCCAGTGCAAATTTAATTTTACAATGCCGGTTACTGCAGCGTGGAAGGAAATATTTCTTTTCGAATGCAGGCCTACCTCTGCCTTGTCTCTCCGTGTTGCAAACTGACCTTCAGGTCAATGACTGCCGTGTTTTGGCCCCCACACGAAAAGCTCGCTGGCTGGAGTAGATGGTGTGTACTCGACCAGTTTGCCTAACAGGGTACACCTCCTTTTCTTAGTCGACATCTGTTGAGGTCACCAGTGCCGGAAACAGAATTGAGATATTCTTTACGTGATCCTGCCGTCAAGCTTTCGTTGTGCAAGCGCTTCTGTGCGCCGTTCAACCTTCATCCTCGCTGTTCTGTTAGAACAACCGTCTCCATGCTGTACAGCGCCACTGATTTCACAGAGGCAATGTACAGGCGGATTTTGTGTGTAAAGAGACACTCCGTTCTCAGTTGAAATATTGGAAAGGTTGTCAAATGCACTGGATATGAAGGGAGTCCTCGTGTTAATTCCGATTGAAAGGTGCCATCGCTGATAATGATTGAGTTGAGATACGCAGATTGGTCGGCTTCCTGTATTACTTCACCTCATTGTTCCACTTGTTGATCACCGGATAAGTTATTCAGTTTTAACTTCCGGGTGTTAAGAAACAGGCCTGCTCTTACAGGTATGTTGCATTCGACCGACAAGGGGAAAACCCCCTCCGCGTACTAATCCTCAGCACAACATAATTTACGTTCTTTGTATCAGCAAGATATCTAACCAGATATCTTAAGCTGTGCATTCCCTCTAGAATGACGTCTTCGTCTTTGCCAAGGTTAACATTGTTTCAGAGAAGAAAGTCGAGAACAATACTGAACAGCAAAGGCGAATCAGCATATCTACTTGATGAACGCCACAGTTAATAGGGAACCATTCAAAAAGCCCTCCTTCAAGTAGGACAACAGACATGGTTTCTGGATAGATTTATTTTAAAATTAAAGCGAAGTGCTCAGCATTTTAAGATTCTTCACGCAGTTGAACGATGCACTGAATGAGGAAACTCCGAATAAGAAGTAAATGTTAAGAAATTTGGCATAACTGGAGGCGGGTAAGAAACTTCGATCAGTTCATGTTGTGGTGTGATAAAGTAAAAGGTTTCTCCTGGGATGATTTTAATAGATTATGCATTTTTCAAATTCTGTTGTAACATTTTATATAATGGCACTGTTGTTTCAAAATGCTATTCCGCTGTAAAGCGATCCAACTGTAAGTGGACTGCCCGTGGGCCGTCTTCCGTATAGCTCGTTTTCTACGCTTTAGTTCTTCCCGTAAATTATTAGCGATGCGATTGAACTAAGGCGAAATATGCTGCAGTCTCTTGTTGCACGCACGCCACAGTCAGGCAGATACTTAATCCGATTAATAGGCCTAACGGACTCCGTATCCTTTGAGGTGATAAAATTTTTGAAACGAGGCAAGACAAGAGTGAAAAGTGAAAACAAGGACGTTTCACAAGAACAGGCAGAATTCTTGTCATAGATCAGTGCCAGTAAACGTACAACTTCACCAGACCAGGAATAGTTATGTTGTGCCACCGCAGCCTTGCTCCTAGTTGCCTAGGAGTGTTAAGCAGGTGGCTGCTCTCACCGTATTTGAGCATCTGTACGAAACGTACCCTACCTCGTATTAGTGCATCGTCAATGCCATACTCGTCTTCAGACGATTAAAAGTGAAGTGCAGGTGCCAAAATACTTTATAGAGTTGTTGGCAGCTTAAACAGTACCTTACGTAGCTGTAAGCAACAGACGATGCCGTAATGATATTAAGTGTGTTTTAATAAGTTAGGGGTTTATTAATGTGATTCCGGCGAGCGAATCTATGTACTGTTGTGTTACATATGCCTGCAAATATCCGCTGGCATTCGAATAAGGTTTTCGTTCGACCCAGCGAAGTGATTCTGTTTCACTTCTATGAACCACAGGTTTTAAAATACACATAAAATTACCTGCTACTTTCTCTCATTGTAATCCTGCTGACGGGTTTGTCAATTTTTCTAAAATCGATCTTTCAGTAAATCTTTCCAATAATTTCTTCACCCCTGTCAATGAATTCATGGGATATCGAAATGATAATATAATACTTTGTGGTCTGAAAATAAAGTACCGAGTTCTGCAGGCCGCCATCTGCTCCATTCTCCGTTATGGATATGAAGGCTGGGCCCTAAATGCCAAGGATGTGACAAACTACAGTCCTTAGACGATTGCTGTTTACGAATCATCTCGTGATTTATCGACCATATGTCCAATGCAACAATCCGTGTCCGTTGCCACACTATCCAGTTCTCTACTCTTCTGAAAGAACAGCAACTGTGATGGGTGAGGTACGTGCTTATATAGGGTCTGTCTGACACGTCTGCCTCCCCGACCCGAAAGAAGAAGCGGCCATGGAAGATGAAGATGAAGTCTATAAAATCATCACCATCTTCTATGACCGCTTCTTCTTACAGGTCGCGGAGGCAAACACGTCAGACAGCTTCCAGCGTTCCTGATCCTGTGCCATAGCTGAAGACACCCGCAGTCTGGAGCAGAATCCTTCCATATATTTGCACCAGGTTAATCTTGGCCATTCCCTGGCAGAAGGCCAGTCAGTTTGGCAAAAAGCAATTACTTAGCATTCCTTTCTGGAGGCATTTACAACACATGCGCAAATCATCGCAGCTGTTTCTTCTCAATCTGACAACGCAGAAGCTGTACATTAAGGCTCTCCCGGATGTCTGTACTCCGGGCCATGTCGAGAGGCGTAAAGCCAGAGATCCGTCTAAGAAAACCCATTTCAAACGCCTGTCCGGGTTGGTAGATTTTCAGTCATGGTCCACGAATCATGACCGTAGGTAAGCATGGCGGAGCTTCGTTTTCAGACAGAGCACTGCTCTAGTCACAATGGGTCAGGTTAATTCACGCAGAACACCACTGGATACTCCAATTTACCGGTCGATTTCTTCCTCTAATTTTCCCTCACATGTAAATACGACTCTGAGGTACTTCAACTTCTCCACATGCTTCATTGCCTCTCCGTTAATCTGAAGAGAGCAACGGGCAGGAGAACAAGAAAGCAGTAGGCTTTTCGTTTTAGATGCGTTCACACGCATGCCG